CTAAAAAGGTAGATGTAGTTCTGAGCTACTGTACAAAGAGTGGAGGAGCTGATGTATGTGATGGATACCGTGAAGTCTGAATAAAGCCCTGAGACTAGGAAACCTGGTACAGAGTGCCTAAAAACCCTGTTATCAGATATATAAAAATACATGTAAATGCTCATATAGCTGTAGAGAAGTACTAACACATAACGTGGTAACTACAGACTGCGACACGTTCGCTCATTGCGCCCATTGTAGATGACGCTTGAAAAACCTCCAAAAGTGCTGCAGTGCGTCCCGTCTCCCCGCTGCTCTGTGTAGAAGTAGAAGCAGGAAGTCAGACACAGGATATCATAGAGAATCCATTCAATTTTCAAAATAAAATACCTGGATGTACCTAGAATGACATGTAGTTCTGATATGAGACATAATAATAAATCCCAACAATAACTTGGGATTCTCTGGTATTTCATAACAAATATGCATTTGAAGGTAACCAAAAAATAAATGTCTACATTAAACAAATGTTAAGATTTGTGTCAGACTGTGTCGTAATGAATTGTTCCATATTAAAATGCTGAGTTGTATCGTAGCCAGTGTATGTACATACCTATCTGATCATCCTACAAGGGAGAGATACACTACATCCCCACAGATATCAGAGAGGTCAAAATCTACATCAGATTGGCATTAGGATCGGCAGGTCCTCCATATCTTGGTATCGGCGGTACATCGATATCTCTGCCTCACGGGTTACTGGTCTGACTCTGAAATCACGTATATCAAACGTAAGGATTGGTTGTCTAATAAATACAATAAAGTGAACAATTGTTATAGTTACGTATGAACTCAAATGTATGACACAGTCTTTACCAGGTCAGGGTGTGTGTGTGTGTGTGGGGGGGGGGTAAATGCATGAGAGAGTAGTACATTTCTGGTTGGATCTGTCCCCAGGATGATCCCAGTGAAAGCATTAAATGGCGTCAGTGGACGGGAGGAGGTAATGAAGCTGTTTATTGTCACAGGTGGGGCAGAGTGTGTGATGCTGTTGAGGTTGTAGGCCCAGCTGGAGGAACCAGCGGTGTTCAGAATGAAGCCCCCATCCAGGGCCATGCCTCAGGGCCCTCTCCATGATCAAGTGGACATGTTTATATGTGACTACAGTACAGCGACTCCTCACTGAAAGAAGTAAGGCCTTAAACTGTTGTTCTTTTTAAAAATAACTCATTGCTCGACTTTCCAGCTGCTTAAGTGAAAATATATCAACTGTTCTTCCGTAAAACTCCTCCAACACCTCCCCCGTGGACATAAACTGTGTGTTTGAAAGGCGTCTTGTCGATATTTTGTCAACCCCGAATCACATAAACAGAGAAACCGAATATAAAAAAGTCAGAAACAAGTCTGACAGACTCGGTTACATTAGAGCACGCAGTTGTTAATCATTGTTGGAACAATTATTTCCATTATTAGTTATTTATAGAGGAAACGTGCCAAATATGTGTCAAATGTAATAATTTGCAGCTTTTTCTGCTGTGATCAATAAGATTGACATTTTCTCACATTTTAATTGTCTAAAGTCATGCTAGCGTTCATGCTTTGTCACAGGGGTGACGTTTAGCAGGTGTAATGCTAGTGTGCTAATGTTTGCTAAGGCTGATGGGAATAGTTTTGCTATTTGGACATAAACCGAATTACTGGACAAATTAAAGGATACCTCTAGAGGAAAAGTTAGAGAAGTTATTACAATTTATCCTCTTGGGACCTTGGATGTCTCTACCAAATGTCACAACCATCCATCCATTCAATAGCTGTTTCAGTAACTAAATGTCAACCTCATCGTGGCGCTAGAGAAAAAGTCAGGGTCTCCAAACTCGTTCAGGTTAATCGTCTGGGAACCACGAACATCCAAATTATTATATTTGACTGAATAAATTAAACTTTGGCCTCACAAAAGCCTTAAAAGTTAAAGGATCCCCAAAGTAATTAAAATTCATCCCTTACAATCTATATGAAGCATATTTTATTAAAATGTATCCAGTAGTTGTCAGAACAACCCCATGGTGGCGCTAGAGGAAAAGTCAGGAGATTACCAAAGTCTGCAGGATTCAACCTCTGGGGACCTTCAATGTCTGTGCAAAGTTTCATGGGAATTCATAAAGTCGTTTTTCAGTTATTTCAATCTAAGTGGTTCCGTTCCTTGAACACTACTGTGGCTGAGAATCAAATCAATAGACTCACTGATGCTGAAAATAATCATTAGTTGCAGCCACAATGACAGAAAACAGTCCAGAGAAAACTAGACTCACCAGACCTCTTAATTACCTCCAGAAGCCATGCAGGTCAAAGGACTGTGCTCTTAAAAAATGTCAAGTTACAAACTTTCCACATTAAAAAAAAAAAAGAAGCCTCATAACACTTGCAGTTACGTGTTTCTGCCAGGTGGCGCAGCAGAGTGCGGCTTCAGCGTAGAGAGGAGATCATGAACTGCCAACAAGTTCAAGAGTGACACAAAGAGGAAGCGACTGTAAAACAGCTCGTCCTCACTTCGGTGAACTGTTATCACGCCGGCCCGCAGAACGCCGTGACCCTCTCTGGTGGCGGTCGGTTTGACCCCGAGGACAAGACCCCCCTCCGCGGCCGCCGCTGCCACCGATTCTTTGCCAGACCAACCACACACACCGGAGGGAGGGGCTCAGTGACAGCCCAGCAGGGACGGTGGCTGCAGCACAAGCTAGTTTCCACTTCTCTTTCTCCTCTTTTCCTCCAGCTGAGCATCTCGGTGCTGGTCGGGGCCCATAAATCTAAGAGTCCTTTCAGCAAAGTCTTTATTACTATTCCCTCAAGAGGCGTGTATTCACACATGCACAGTTTCTCGACATTTCTTCATCCTCTCTTCAGTCAAATGACTCAACACCCACTTCAGCGGTTCCAGAATGGGGAAGATATATATTCCCCTATTTCTGTTTTCAACTCGACTGCGACTCTCAAGTGTCTGGGTTCACAGAGTTTCTCTTGCTTGTTATCCAGCTCTCTTAATGCTTCAAGTCCCACAATACCTCTCATCTTACTGCGCTTCTTGTCAGGTCCTCTCCTACCACAGTTCTTAATCCTCCTTTTGATGTTGTGTTGCTCACTGTCCAGAACAAAAAGCATTATGCGCCCCCCCGACTTTCTTCCATTTGTCATCCCTGCAGCTGTCTGAGAGAAGCAACAATTAGTTTTTTAAGTGTTAGGATCTGATAATGAAAAGTAGTCAACAACCGCAGAAGGTATACGTCCTTAAAGGTGCTGACGAGACCAAAAAGTGAGTGGAAACCGTGGAAAAACCCAAATGGCTGGAAACACTTACAAGCCATTCTCCTCCACTGTTTCAATCTACAAATAAACTCCAGAGAATTTTCCAAAGCTGTGTTGAAAAAGAGAAAGAGAAGGAGAGATTGGATGGGGGTGGGCGGGTGGGGGGAAGAGAAACTGACCTTTAATTTGCCTTTCTCATGCTATGTGCCATTTACATTCACATGATGTACAACCCGGTGTGATCACTGCAGAGCTGCATGACAAACTGTGGCAGTGAGGGCACACGAGAAAAAAAGGAGAAATTATTTATAATGTCATCTCCATTAGGAAAACCTTTTCTTCCACTCAAATTGCTTGCGTAATATTTATATATAGCTCAGGGTGAAGTGGGTTATCCAGAGCTGTGTGTCAGGGTGAAGTGGGTTATCCGGTGCTGTGTTTTTGTTACCCGGTGAGGAGCATTCAGACCTAAAAGCACCTCGTCTGAACAGCAGCGATGAAGAAAAACCATCACGGTACCTGCTGGTGATCGATTAATCGTTATTATATCGGAATCACGATGTGAAAGTGCAATATTCAAATCACAAGAACAACCATTTTAATTATATTTGACATTGTTTTAACAACAGCGTCTTTAGTTGGCAACCAACAGAACTAAACTATTAGTATTCGTATTTATGTTGTAAACCAGATGTTAATTTTAGATTGATATTGTTTGATCATGATTGATGGTTGATCAGAGGTTATCGGAGGGCTGAACCCTAAGTTATCCGTTCAGCCAGCAGAATAACTTTAAATTTTTAATTTTTAATGAATTATACAGAAACAAATTTAACTATTTTTGCAATTTTCACTTCCTAACACAACTACATTGCAAAAGAAAATAAATAATTAAAAGTATAAAAACATCGCAGCAGGCATCGCGATTTTTAGGGACGAGCTGCCGTGAAATCAGGCATTTTTAAACGTCTATATTTGTATTAATTTGAATCAATGAATTGATCCTATTAATTTTTTTTTTCATTTTGATTTATTTATCTTTCTCATGTACTCTTGCCCTTTTGTCTAATTGTACATGTATTTATTTATTTTTCTTGTTGTTTCTGTTTGTCGCCTGCATTAATAAAAAATCTGGCATTTTAAGCCGCAATAATCCCCAAAAAAGGCTGTGAGCTCCTGAAGACACTGTAATAATGCTGCATACAGCCAAATATTGCTTAATTTGTAGGATTCGTATAATAATCACAATCTTAAATCACAATATTGGTCAGAAAAATTACAATTAAACATTTCCCTCAAATCATTCAGCCCTTGTTCCTGATAGTGAAAGTGAAGTTTAACTGGTTAACTAATTTCAGGGTGTTAGGAGTGGAAACTCAAACAGTTACATTTCTGTGAAATCTAAACTCACAGTAGTTTAAAAAAACAAATGATCACTGAGCGCTCTGTGGTCTGACGGGACTTTGTCCCCACTCCCCACATGCTGTCAGGTCAGTCATCTCTAAAGCGGTGTTTAATGTACAATGAGAGTGTCCAGGTGCATACTGTATGCTTTTAGAGGTAACACAACACTCCCAGCCACGATGAACTCCAAGCAAGGAACACAGCGTTTTTTGATAGGATTTAATTTCTGGCATTAGTGTTTAGTAGTAAAATTTGAGGACAATTAAGCCTTGAAAAGAAAGCATCAAAACTGTGCCTGTTTCCCAAGTTTTCAGAGTCGAGCAAGTCGGAAAAGTAAGTGATTGTCTCACACACATTAATGTGTAACTATGTGTCTTAAAAAAGATAAGCAAATACATTTGTGGTTTACTGTTTTTCCTTTCTAAGCATCAGTTTAATCACACAAATACAGTTTGTGAATGAGCTTCAGGTCTCATTAAGCTTTCTAAGCAATCTAGTTTTCCTGACTGTAAACTCTTTGGCAGTGTTAAAAACTATTTTTACCTCAGCACAGAGTTTAAAGTAAAACAAAGCCAAGACTTTCTTGACGGAGATCGTGGATGAATTAGGGGCTAAATAAGCAAGCTGTAGTCAAATCATTGAATTTCGACCTCATGCTAAGATCTGAACACTTGCCCTGCAGAACGCTGTCAATCTGATTGGAAACTTTTGTAGTTGATGTTCGAACCGAACTCTTGTAGCCCAAGACCGCAAGACAACGCTTGAAGTCGATGATATTTTTAGTGCAGCTGGAATGAGATTGTTTAAACAAAAAATATTTCCAAGAGATTCTAAGAGGTTGAATCATTTTGTCCGAGCACAGGCAAAAAGACATGAAGTTTGGCAGATCGACGACTGGATGTTAGATCACGGATCGTGTTACTTGAACTTAAAAAGAAATGACATAATTGTGCAAGAGAGGGAACAGATACGTTGCAAAAAGAAAACACCAAATCCTAACAAAAGTCAGCATTGAAGACACAACACGATGTAGCGGTAGCTCCTGCTTCCAAATGAAAATATAGTATGAGCTGAGCAAACACAGGCCCCGTTTTTATTGAGGTACCTAAGAGGCCGTTTACACTGCCTGTATAATAGCCAGTAAACAGCACAAATAGACGAAGGAAATTGTTTTTTTGTCTGTAAGTTTCAGACACCTTGATTTTATAGATCCAAACTCTTAAGTATGGCACCATAAACAGGGTTTATAAACCATTTGATCTGTGATTAAAAGCAAATAGGTTAATGGAGATTTTAATCTTTTATGAGTCTGTTTGATTAAATTAATGTCTTAAAGCAATAATACGCAGTATCGTGAGGCTTAGACTACACATTATATGATTATTACAGAGTTCGAGCCAGGATTGTCTGGGAGGGAGTCAACTGGGCCCATTAGTGCTGTTCTAGGGTCACTGCTGATGTCCAAAAGGAACATAAACAAAACTGTTCTGTACACTCAGTGCTTCAAAATAGTATTATATGATATTAAAATAAATTATATTAGACATTTATTCATTTTGTTTTGATTTACACTACAAAGAAGATCATTTAAAGCACTGCTTCCCAACCTTTCTCTTTCAGGGACCCCTTTGTTATCATTTATTAAACTGACTTAGTGACATTTTATGGATGTTTCATATTATATTAATAATATGAACCCAAACAGTGAACTGCAGGAAGTTTGTGTAAAACGAGTGATTTGGATGAATTTGGAGCAGATTATTTTCTGTTTAGGAAACTTTTTATACAATTCAAGTCTGTATTATGGATTTATTATAATTTTTAACAATCATACAGACTTAATAGGCTTATTTTTTGACAAATTCAGTGTTTTCTTGTCTCTGATGACTTGTATAAACCTACTGTGTATATTTTTTAAGCTTTCTTACATGCCTTAAAATCAACCCAATGAATCTTTGGTGACCCCTTGGCTGGAAACCACTGATTAAAAGGACCAGTGTGTGGGATTTAGTGGAATCTAGTGGTGAAGCTGCAGATTGCAACCATTTGAATACAGCTCTGCCTTCCAAGCACTCTGTAGAAGAGGACCCGTAGAGGCCCTGTAGATAAAAAAAATGTTTCATTTTCTAGTTGAGCTCAAAAAATTACAGCTGATACAGATAAATGAGAAGCTTGCTGTCAGAACAGATTGTGCTTTATTTCAAGGCGGACAGTTGAGCGCAGAGCGGTCGCAACTATGGGAAATTATACGTTCTACGGGCGTCACTGTTGCATTGTCTCATTTCTTCTTCTGTATAAGGAAGCAATATTGAAAGTAAGAGAAATTAAAGATACACGAAGCAGCTGAAAAGCAGCGAGAGAAGAAAGAAAAGTGAATATGGAAACCTCCAAAGTTCGCCAAACGATCCGGTGTGGTTGAGAGCCAGCATAAAGTAGCTGTTCCTGCTGGTGGTGCTGGGCTAGATTAGCGTCACATCACAGCCTCATGAGCCGTGACACTAGAATGCTTATGAAACTCGCACACACACGCACATTCACACAACACATAGCAGTTGCTTCTGAATGAAACAAGAGACACAGGGAAATTACTGGAACATCACGGATCCTCGGCCAGCGCAGTGAACCCCCAAATTCCCTCCTGAACGATTTATCACATTTTTGGTCTGTACATGAAGAGTGTGTGTGTGTGTGTGTGTGTGTGTGTGTGTTCTCTTATTTAAGAGCATTGAGATTTAAACAAGAGCATTTTGAAATTTCAGCTGTTTCCTATACAATCGAGTAACAATTGCTAACCTAAATCTTCTGTAATCCAAAGACGGACGAAACACAAGAGAATAAAGACACGCAGGGTGACAATTATACATCTCCATGCAACTATGCCTTTCATGTTCATTACAGTCCACACTTCAGCACAGGATGCAGCCTCTCCCCTCGACTCCCCTCTCAAAGATGGGAACTCCCTGTAACATTTGTGAGGGACCAAAAAGCACCTGAAAGTAGGTGTTTTATGCCTTTAATGGATAGTAGACAGTAGGGGTCCATCATTGGTTGTTGGTTCTGAATTTGACAAAAATAAGCCTAGGTTTGAGCACCACTCACAATTCTTTATTTGAGTAAAGAAATGGAAAGACTTCCTGTGCTGTGCTCCATATCTTATTTACGTGAAAGTATGAGGAGTAAAATATACTGGTGGTCTTCATTCCTCTGGCAAGTCTTTTTTCCAGAGAAATTGAGTAACTCCAAAACAACTTCAGCACGGCAACGTCATAGACAGAAACAGACACCAAACAACCTGACATTACTCTGGATTTGAATGAATTCAAACAGGATAAAACTATGTATTGTTATTGCTATTCAAGAATCATTATTATAGTGTAAATGTATTTCATTACAAGTGAGTGAAATAGAAAGTTTAGTTTTGTTGTCACATGAAAACCTCAAAGGTTTCACATCATTGATAGGAAGGATAAATTGTAGTTTCAGATTTTATTTTCTAATGTGATCTGCCAGTACACGCAGTATTTATTCATGCCATGTAGATTAAAGTCATGTATGGGGGCAAAATACCTTCATGTACAGCAAGTGGTTCCTAACCTCTTTCCTTAAGGGACCCCTTTTCTATCACTGAGTAAACTGACGACCCCTGACTAAATGTATTTTATTTCAGAGAACAACTGATAAACTGTACAATGAACCCAAATAAGTAAACACAATAATTACTGGACGTTTGTGTAAAACGAGCGATTTGGATGATTTATTAGCAGATTATTTCCTGTGAATATTGATCAGAGATGAGTTTTCCTGAAATTTTTTCTAACTTTTTATCCAATTCTGTCTCTATTGTGTATTTTCTAACAATCATACACACTTAATATGTTTATTTTTGACAAATCTAGTGTTTAAACCAACAACCAGCGATGAACCCCTACTGTCTACTATCCATTAAAGGCATAAAACACCTACTTTCAGGTGTTTTTTGGTCCCTCACAAATGTTACAGCGAGTTCCCATCTTTGAGAAGGGAGTCGAGGGGAGAGGCTGCATCCTGTGCTGAAGTGTGGACTGTAATGAACATGAAAGGCAGGTCGGTCGATACAAGGTGAAACAAGAGGCAGGATGTACAGCCCAGCGTTCCCTGCTCTGTTAGGAGTCATTATCAGGCAGCTGAACCGCAGTGAACCGAACTCCAGCAGCTGCTAAACAGCCGACAAGCTTCCTAACTGCAAAGCTGTTTGTTTGCTTGTTCTGTCTTTCAGGAGAAGACACACTGAATCATTTCATGCCAACCACACAAACCCGCTAAATGCCAGCATACACACTGCATGCATGCAATCGCTCACACGCTTCTTCACATGTACGTGCACACACACGCTGCGCAGATGGCCAAGAGATAGACACACACGCAAACAAAAACATGCTCACACACACACACAGGAAACAAATGTGGGATTGGGACATTTACCACCAGGGCTTCCTGAGTGGACACCCAGCATGGCAGCGGGTTCTGGCACATCCCCAAAGAAAAGAAAGGTCTAAAAATATATTGTGTAAGTGTAGCTACTGACAGCTGTGGGTACTGCAGCACAGAACCTAAACATAATGTGTATTTTAGTTCATTATTACACTAAATGTAAGAGCTGTGATTGGTTTATGGAATATTATTATTGTTGCTACTGTACAACAGTGGGAAACACTGAGCAGGGCTCACCTGTCCTATTGGCTGTCTGTACCCGGACTGGGAGCTCAAAGGACAGGGGAAGTTTAAACACTGCTAGCTGAGGAGCAGAGGGACCCAGCTGATTTCCAGCAGCTCCGACCAGGACTCTGACTCCTGATTTGCAACAGAGAGTGCAAGTAGCCATGGCCAGGTTGAGTCTTTTCACAGAATCAATTTCTTCAAATTGAAACCATCGACATATAAAAGATGGACGTCTCCACTTCCTCCCACAGTACAAAAATGAAGCCACTCTGAGCCAGAGTCTGCGCAGTAGTGATCAGGGTTGGTATCGTGGTATCGAGTCCGGCCCACTAAATCGCAATCATGGCGTGAAACCCTCTTACCCATGACTTAAAGTAACTAATTAAAACCAAACTGATCAGTAAAACACTTTAACAGACATCAGTGTGATAAGAAAGGGCGTTATGACCTACGCTGCAGTCAGCCACCAGAGGGCGATCGAGATGTTTCGGTTTCACTTTCAGAGAGCTGTCATGTCGTCCATCTTTATACAAGCCAATGGTTGATAGATGTATAAAATGTTTTAAACCTTTTTCGAGTTGTTAGCGTCTCCATGACATCCCGTTATAATACATCCACGTTCGACAGCTAGTGAT